AAAATTTTATTTAAAAATATTTGATTTATTTTCACTTAAATTATCATATCATTAGTTTCAAATGTCATTTTTATTAATCAAGATATGTACCACACGATATTTATAAGAAAACAAAAAAAAAAAACTTTTCTCTCGGGGAGATAAATAGCTTGATCGAGTGAATTTGATCTATTGTTTTCTGTTTTCCTTATTTAGTTTATTTCTTTACTTTTGCGCTTTTATCTTCGTCTAAATCATTGACACTCCCCCACCATACAAAACGTGAAAATGATTTCTTCCTAATGCGCACGTACCTTAACGCAAAAAGAAGAGGCTTGTTTTTCAAAGAAAGACACAGATCGTTACGCAACTTTTGTTTAGCTTTTCATAAACACGTCAAGCAAAAGAACAGAACAATGTTTCCCTATGAAAAGAATTGAATGTGTTTAGTCTTAAATTGTTCCTGGCATGGACATTTTTTGGCCAAATTCAGTGTTTACTGCTTAGCTACAAAGCCGACCTGGATTAATTAACGACAATTTTGGGATAACTTGAGTCAAGTGGATTGGCTGAGCACAAGATGTTATATTGAATTTAAAAAATATATTTTATTTATTTTTGATGTAAAATTTTATGTATGTTTTTTAATTTTGTGAAAATTATACATGCATGTTAACTTAACACAAGACTTACATTCAACTTAAAATCAATTAGTAATATGATAGGTAGAGTAGCCTTTCTTCTTTTTAACACACAAGTATTTTTTTTTTTTTTTATATTTGATGTGAGATTTTTTTCACTTAACCCGCTTCCTCACATGCGGATCTGTTATGAATGTCAGGTCTTATCATGTAACTTAATACACCCCCTTACATGCACTACAAGAAAAATGATTTTTAGTGACAGAAATTTGTAATGAATTTTAAAATTATCACTATAACTTATCACAATTGTGACAGATCTAAAAAATTAATCATAGATGCATACATATTTAATGATGAACAAAAAAATTCATCATAAAAAATATATTTTGTCATCGAAAAATGTTCATAGTGATAAAATAAGCTTTTGTCGATAAAAAATCATCACTATAATGTATTACAATTATGACAAAATTTTAATATTGGTCACATATACCTTACACATTCAATGATGACCAAATAATTTATCACTAAAAAATATATTGCGTTACTAAAAACTGTCAATTTTCTTTAATCAATGCATCTCACATCGATAAAAAAACACATAAGAGAATAAGGTTTTGTACTATAAATATATCCCACATCGATAAGAACTATTTAAGAAAATAAATTTTTGCGCTATAAAACATGTGAAACTCAATAAAACTTGAGATTAGTTTGGGCCTGATTAATTTTAATCGGGCTTGATTAATTTTAATCAAAATTGATTAGTATTGAAATAATAATATTTTTTATTAAACTTTTGTGATAAATTTATATATTATTTTTTTGTGATAAAATTTTTGTTAAAATATTTGTGTTGTAATTATATAAATATATTTTTTATTTAATATCAATTGTAATAATTAATTACTAAATTTTGCATCATAATTGCATTTGTGACGAATAAAATTGTTATAAATAACTTGTTAACAATATCAATTTTTTCTATGACTATAAAATTATTTTCTATGACAGATGCCTAATTTGTCATTAAGAGTATTAGTGACAAGGGTTTTACTAATGGTTTAAATTTTATCACTAATAATAATTTGTGACGAAAAATAAAGATTTAATGATCAATAATTTAGTCACTAAATGTGGATTTTCTTGTAGTGATGTAGACCCTGATATCAACTTTTAATTTCAAATCCTGTTAGGTCTGTTAGGTGAGTTAATAATGGGTTTTCATGACATAATCTGGACTTTGATACCATATGAAAATTGTACACCCACCCGATATCAATTTTTAATTTCGGATTCTGTCAGGTGAGTTAATAATAGGTTACCCATGATAGAATTTGGACTCTGATATCATATGAAAATTATATATGTATGTTGAATATAAGACTTGCATCTAATCTAAAATCAATTAACAATAAGTAGAGTGACCTTATTTATATTTAATTCACAAGTTTTTTCTTTTTATACTTGAGGTAAGATTTATCTCACTTAACAAATTTTAATTTACATGTAAATTTAGACTCTAGCAAAGAATTTTTTTGTATGTAACATTCTTACATATGTTATAAGGACAATGATGAATATATATTTTAGTTTAAGATATTACATGATATGTTTATTAAAAAATTATTTTTTTTAATATAAAATTAAAAAATAATAAATTTAAATATAATTATATATATAATATAAAAATTAATTGAATCAAGTTATAGTTATATTATAATTTAATAATTAAAGTAAATAAATATTTAAAAATATACTAAATTGATTGTATATTAATTATTTTTTATATTATAATTATGCATTAGATTTTGTATCCATACTGCATGTGTAGTAATATAAAAATAATTTTTTATATAAATTTATTAAATAATATTTATATATTATTTAATAAATAAATACATATAATATTATAAAATTTAAATAAATAAATAAAAATTAATTATTTAAATAATTTATAAATGTATAAAAAATAATTTAAAAAATTATACTAAATCATTTTCTGTACGGCACCGTTGAAATATAGCATTAGCCATTAGCATCTGCAACGCGACAAAGCCTCGAGGATAGCTTTCAGATTATAGGCCTACAAGACAGGAAACCGTCTTTCCAGCACGCTTGCACCTTTCTTGTCCTAATTTTTATTATTATGGTGAAAACATCATAATTGCAATGTCTAAAGTAATATAATTACTATATTATATGATACGGTGATTTTATAATTATAATATATTAATATATAATTAATTTTTTAAATTTAATTATTCAAGTTTTGTGTGGTCTCATATAATTTAATAATAGATGTTTTAAATTCTAATAATCAGATTTATTAATAAATAAATATTATTTTATAAATTAAGTAAAAATTTAAATCTTGAAAAATACAGAAATGTTCATATATACCCATCTCCCATAAGTGCCCCTTTCTCTCTCTCTATATATATATATTGCTAATTAACCAGGCTTTGTGACACGTCCTAGTATTCCTTATATAGCTTGTGTTGCAGGCAAAGGCAGGTGGCAAATTAAACAATGAGTTCTCCATCAGTAGAAGAGCCATCTCCTCGAGTAATGGAGAGAAAAGGAGAACAAATGAATGCGGTTCATGGGATCCACAGTCAACAAGATTTTGATCCAAGTGCAGCCCCTCCATTTCGGATTGCAGAGATCCGAGCTGCCATTCCCGACCACTGTTGGGTCAAGAATCCATGGAAGTCTATGAGTTATGTTTTCACTGACATCCTAGTTGTTTTTGTGTTGGTATCAGCTGCACTCTACTTCAATAATTGGTATTTTTGGCCACTCTATTGGGTTGGTCAGGGTACAATGTTTTGGGCACTGTTTGTCCTTGGACATGATTGGTAATCACACACATACTAATGCTAGCACTCTCTTAAATTCATAATTTCTACTTCTCCCATTATATTCTGCATTTTGTGCTAAAGAAGGAAATGCCTTTTATAGCGGTCATGGAAGCTTTTCCGATTATCCCACCCTGAATAGTGTGGTGGGGCATATCTTGCATTCTTCAATTCTTGTACCATATCATGGATGGTGAGTTCTAAATTAGTAACCTTTTGTATTTTCATTTCATCATTCAATTCTTCTACTGAGGTTAAGTAACGTAATATTTTACTGAAAACTTTCAGGAGAATAAGTCACAGGACTCACCATCAGAATCATGGAAATGTAGAAAAAGATGAGTCATGGGTTCCGGTAAAAATTATTTATCTGCTCGCTTTGCTTCTGTCAAATGTGAAAGTATATATATGAACATATATATATATATATATCCAATGGTGCGACAACTACAAATACCAAATCTGAAAATGTAATTTATTATATTTTTCTCTATTTCTTTCAGCTACCTGAGAAGATCTACAAGAATTTGAGGACTAGAACTCGAATTCTAAGATTCATATTGCCCTTCCCCTTGTTTACATATCCTATATATCTGGTAAGAGTACTGTTGTTTTCATTGGACTTTCATCATGAGATTAAAGATTATGCTCCCCCTGGTATAGGAAGCTTAATTAACTCTTGTCTCTTTCATTTTACTAGTGGTTTAGAACTCCAGGCAAGAAAGGATCTCACTTCAACCCTTATAGTGACTTGTTCATGCCAAATGAAAGGAAATTTGTGATGACTTCAACTGCCTGTTGGATAGTAGTTGCTTCTTTTCTTGTATATTTATGCTTCCTGATAGGTCCACACCAGATGCTCAAGCTTTATGGTGTTCCCCATTTGGTCAGTAAAACTGTTATTCTAATTTACCTTGCAACTTTCTGGATCCATGCACATTAATATTGTTTCTCTGATGTTAATGTATAAACAATCGGCCCTGTGCTTATAATTTCAGATTTTCACAGTGTGGTTGGATGGTGTCACTTATTTGCATCACCATGGCTATAAGCAGAAGCTTCCCTGGTACAGGGGCAAGGTAACCTAAAAACATCAAATGAAAATGCAATCCAAACAGGCACAAAGATTCTAACTTGAGAGCAGATTTTGGCATACGAATCAAATTTAGTGAACTCATCAAGAAGAAGAGAAGAAGAAAAATGGCCCCTTTTTTTTTTTTTGAAAAGTAAATTTTATTAATGAATACAAGAATTATTTAACTCGTAACAGTACAATGAAAAAGTAACAAAATCATAAAATGAAAAAAATACAAAGGGTACCCATCCCATAACAGTATAACGAAAAAAATATCTTATTGCTCTCATGTCACGTGTGTGTTTTTGACAGGAATGGAGCTACCTCCGAGGAGCGCTTACAACAGTAGATCGTGATTATGGCTTGTTCAATAAAATCCAACACGACGTAGGCACCCATGTCATACATCATATCTTCCCTCAAATCCCTCACTACCACCTAGTAGAAGCGGTACATTAAAAAAAAGGATGATTTTCAATTAGTGAGCATGTATGACTATTTTTTTTTGTAGTTAATTACATGACTAATAGATAATGAATACTCCATTGCAGACAGAAGCAGCTAAAGCAGTGCTTGGAAAGTACTACCGGGAGCCAAAAAAATCAGGGCCTATTCCCTTTTACTTACTCAACACCCTGCTTAGAAGCTTTAAAGAAGATCATTTTGTGAGCAACACCGGAGATATTGTGTATTATCAAACCGATAAGGACCTCTACAAGTTCTATGAGACCACCAAGTCTGCCTGATTGGTTCAGACTTCAGAGCAGAATTGCAGCATCTTTACTTGTTTCAGGGTTAAGCACTTAAACTTAAGCATGTATGAAATCTACTTGTGTTATATGTTGTGTAGCAGGAAGACTTTAAATAGTCTTTTGTCATGAATTAAGTCCATTGGAAGTTTGGAACTATATTATTGGTGCTTAAAAAGGAATGTTTAAGCTGCATGCAACAAAAAGCTGCTCTTTTTTTAAATTTATTTTTGTATTTTGATGTACGACCACAAGGCTAAGCAAACAAGCTGCTTCTCCTTGATAGACTCCAGGCAGTGTCCAGCCCAATAGAAAAAGAACTAAATTCAAAATTGGAGAAAAAAAAAAAAAAAAAACAAACAAAGTTTATGAAAATTTCCAAGCAGATAAAAAAAACAGAGCAGCAGATTCGGTCGGTGGGGAGCAGGGCATTAACCTCTGGGCCTAACAAGTGGCCCAGTTTGAAATGACAAAAAGCAGCTAGACTAGACTCAGCATATTTGGGTTCCACACCAATTCCCTCACTGACAAACTCTTCCAATCGTTGTCTCTCCCCTTAGTGTCCAAATCTTGCACAGATAACCGGGGAAAAAATGGAAACAAAGAGAAAACATTCAGTTTGGCCCCTACTCCCTAGACGCTACTATCCTTGTATGAAGATGGCAGAATGTCTAAATTCAATCTTAGAGTTAGGTGATTAGGTTGAATTTATTTTTAGATAAAAAAATATAGGTTAATTTATTTATAAAATTTTTGATTTAGATAAATTATTTTCAATTTAATATATAATTTTTTTTCATCAGTAATTTATTAATAATGACATTATTAATGACATAATAAATTAATAAATTATTGACGTTAAAGATAATATATATTTTTATTTTGATTATACAATAAGAAATAATTATCTTTTATTTTTTATCTCATCTCACTCATATACCATGCGAGTCGAACTTAGGATCTCTTACTTCCAGCGAAAGAAGATAATCACTAAATTATTTAGGTTGTTGACACGTTAAATATAATATTATATATTAAATTTAGAGTATTTGTTCAAATAAAAAAAAATTTATAAATAGATTTATTCCTATGTTTTTATTCATGAGGGGATTCGTCCTTAAATTTAGGCATTCTGCCATATGAAAATTTCATTCAATCCTAAATACTTTTTCATTTTTCATGAAAATTAAGTTTCAAATCTTCTGGGACAAGTCCTAATCCTATTATTGAAGTAGTAAAGTAGTAGTATAGTGTTTTTCTTTTGAAAAGAATGTTTTACAATTTAAATTATATCAAATCAAATTACATAATATTAATTATTAAATATGAATGAGTCTCTTAATATTAGAGTTTTCTTTTATCTAACCGTTCTTATTCTATAATTTAAAATAATTCTAACTACACAACAAGAGATTTACTTTTTTTTTTTTAATAATCATTTTCAAAAATCCTTTTATATTAAAAAAATGAGAAAATATCCACCTTTAGCTCCACAATGGTGTAAAAAGAAGTTTGGGTCTTAATAGAAATCCCAATTTAAGAGTGGGTAATAAATTGAACATTTATCCAGACAGAAAATGAAAAGAAAAAGAAAAAGAAAAACCAAAATTTTCAAAGAATCTTGTCACTTTCATCTTTCTTCTCTTTTCCAGATGCATTATGCTTTTTTTTTTTCCCACCATTGCAAATTGCAACACAACAAATTTTGTGAAAAAAAAAAAAAAGGACTTTTCATGAGGCGTGGAAACATAGTACTGTTTATGTTACTAACTTTTGCCTACAACCTTGATTCAAATGCATAGCCCGCCATGTCTTTCTCTCTTTACAACTTTCCTTTTTATCACATTCTCTCCTTTTTTGTTATTGCTTTGATGCCTTTTACCAACTAAACTGTTACTTTTCCTAGTTCAAACCCAACTCTTTGTTTTTCCTCTTTTCACTGTTTCTGAAGTATTGCTTGATTTCAACATGAAGTTGTTGTTACCATCTCCCTCCATTTCTTCTTCTGCTTCTTTTGATCCCACGTTGTGCACTTCAAAAAGTGCCACTGCTGGGTGCATTGCTGGGATAGTTCGTCGAATTCTCTGTTCTCGTAGTCTTCCTACACATCCCTCTGATTACATCACGGGAGGAAGCTCAAGCTCCATCGATAAGAATCAACAATTGGAGGTTGAGGATAATACTGAAAATGCTAAAGCTGCTGCTCCAGGGATTGTGGCTAGGCTAATGGGTTTGGATTCCATGGCGGAAATCAACCAAGTGAAACCAAATTCAGTTTCAAGAAGCAGGTCAATGAATTCTGTGGATTACATGCATAGTTCTGATCAAGTCCAGGGCAAGCAAAAACGAGTAAACTCTACATTGTCCTTCCGCGAGATGCCAACGTACTTCCAGCTAGAAGATGAAGAGTTCTTTGTACTCAGCTTTGAGAAAGAAGGAGAAGGAAGAGAGTTTAGGGCAAAACAGAGGAAGCAGAGAAAAGAGGAGAAAAACAGAACAGATAAGGAGTCCGAAGGGAGGAGCAAGAAGCCTTTGTGTGTCTTGATTAAAGAAGAGATGAATAGGAGAATAACAGAAAAGCCTAATCAGGATTTTTCCAAAACCCAAAAAATTGAAGATTCAGTTTGCACATATGCTCCCTTCAAGGAATCCAGCATAAAAGCTCTGGAGAGAAAGAGGAAGAAGAAGAAGAAAGCAAATTGCAGGGCAGCTGAAAACTTAGAACACGAATGCAACTCAGAAGATTCAAGTCCTGTTTCTGTTCTTGATTTTGATCAAGAAGTTCCCACTCCCACCTCATCATGTTAGTTAGTTCCCTTTTATTTATTTAAACATAAAGTAGTTTGGTTCAACTGTTGCATGACTTTTTTGAAATTTCTGAATTGTTCCAGCTACAGATGAAGATTTCAAGTTAGAGGAGTCCAGAAGGAAACTATTACCAGAGCTTGAAAACTGCGGATCCCCAGGTCCACGAGAAGATGGTAATCTGATGGATAATGATGGGAAGATGGAAACAATGGAAAGGAAAAGTCATGGATTGATGAGGAAGAAAGATTCGCACAGCAACAATTACTTGCACTGTTGGGATGCAATTTGCACTCTGACTGAATCAGAGATGGGTAACAGGTCAAGCTGGTTAGGTTCCAACACTTACAAGTGTGAAGAACTTGAGGATATTGCTGCAGATTTGGGGTTGCAAATTCTAGATCAACTGTTAGATGAATTATTAGTTCAACTTTCTTGACTTCCCATGAAGAATTTGAAATTGTAAGGCTACAGATCCCGTGTAAAATTTTGAGCTCATATAATAATAATAAACTATAGTTAAACCCTATGTAAACATCCTCAAAGCATTATGTTGTTTTTTCACACTCAAATCCCCAAAATTGCTCATTTAAGCTAAAATAATGTGGCGGGCACACCATCTTTCATTAGGGAGGGGACCAGCTGGGTTGAAAAGTAATCAGCCCACTCATATACAACAGGATTATGATGATTACCGTATAGAATATTTAGTCTATTAATTTTTATTTTTTTTAATAGTGTATAAAAATATGAATTTATTAATTAATAAATATCAATTATTTTATAAATTAGCAATTAATATTTATAATTACTAATTATTTTTATTAATTAAATTAAATTAAATTCATATTTTTAAATATAATATTTTATAATTTGTAATGCTTTAATTTTTTTTTATTTTAATTGTATAATGAGAGGTAATTATCTCCGATCTTTTATCTCACATCATTCATATGTTATGCGATTCAACGAAAAAAAATAACTATTAAATTATTTAAATCGTTGATAATAGTGCTTTAATATTATGAATGGTGAGTATAACTATACTTCACATACATTATATAAGGCAACTCCCAAAATAAAAACCTTGCTTTTTGTTTTTTTCTTGCCGCAAAAAATAAAACCTTGCTACCAAAAGAAATTTCATATGCAACTTTTTGATCAGGTTCAGATTTTATTATTTTTTTTAAAAAAAATAATATTAATCAATCCCAGATTCTATGTCTTAAAACCGAAACAAAATAATCTTGGCTGATGAGAGCAACAGTTAAGTAAGTACTGCGGATGGAAAATGGAACAAGAATTTTACTAAACAAGACTATCTCCAGGACAATGTTTGGAAATCTGAAGAGTGAATCATGATTTTCTTGTACGGAATATCAATGGACCAGGGTTGTCTGAATTAACTATAATTGTGCGGGATTCTAATGTTTCCACTGCCTTTTCGTTAGTGCGCAACAATCAGAAATCAGACCCACTTACAATCATGAAATCAGTGAACCTCACCTCGCTTTTTTAACATTCGGAAAGCAACGCATGCAGAATTCAAAAACAAAGTTGATAGGTGGAAGACAGTGAAAAAAGGTGAAAGAAAAAATAAAAAAACAAAGGGTGGAGATGGGATCCATCCGTCCTAGAGATCTGCTGTTCAGAGAGCAACCGTACTGCTTAAAAAATGCAGAAAGCAGGAGCCTGGAGGATGGAACTTCTACAGTCGTTGATTCCAGCACAAAACAACCTTATAATCAGAACACAAATAAATAAGCATAAACGGTTCTCCAATACTTAAGCTTTCAATACATAAAAGTACAGTTTATAACTAATCTTGGAATGAAAATTGAACTCTCATCAAAAGATGAGGATCAGCTCAAGTAATGGAAAAAATTTATCCTGAGAACCTAAAAACTGTTTCGGCAGAAACCTTACATCCTGCTGAAACTATCTTTCTCTATTGGTATAAACTATAAGTCTTTCCCCTTCACCATTTCCTTCTACTTTTGAATTGTTCATTATTGTCAAAAAAAATTCGAAAAATAGCAAAAAGAGAACTAATTACAAGTTAAATTAGGAGACAATGGTGGGTGGGGCCGTAGCCAATTTTGATTAAGCCACAATCTGCTCCTGCTCCATGCATAACATTTGCTCCAGCCAAGCAGCAGACATTTCAGAGACTCCAGTGTTAGGATGACGCTGCTGCTCCTCAAAACCAAACTGCCCGTCTAGAGGAGCGTCCTTCACAAGGGAATGGATCCAAGATGTGTCTGGCTCATCAGCAGTTTGTGGCATGGAAGCTGCAGCATTACCAAAACTGCTGTTGCTGGTTCGAAATCCAAAAGAAGCAGACTTTCTTAGCTTGTTCAGTTTTTCTCCCTGTATACTCCAGTCCAATTTGCCATCAGGGGAGCCCCAGTCTGAAAGGCTAGACTGTATTGTGGTTGCTGCTGACGAAGATGGTGAAGAAAATCCAGAATGACGATTCACAGCAGTTCGCTCAATAAAGCTCTGGCTCCGTTTTGCAAAGGCAGCTGACCTCGAACTCAAAACTGCAGCTGCTTTAGCTGCAGATGGATCCATCCTAGAGGCCCTTACAGAAGGTGATGAGACGTTGGTAGGGTAGCTAGAGCGGAACTGCTGATTAATATTCTGGCGCATCATTCCAGTTGGAGACTGCAACTGAGGGGATGCACCATCGAGTAAGAGTCCTTGTAATTGTGGCAAAACAGAAGGATCTAGAGAACCAAAAATATCTTCAAGTTTAGTGGGTTTCACTCCAAGCCAATTCAGTTCACCAGTTCGGTCAGCAGAGGCCAAAAAAGATGGAGTGGACGAGGTGTTGTTCCAACTTGACGAGGAAGAAGGACCAGATATCTCATTTATTAGCTGCTGCTGCTGCTGCCATTTAAGCTGATTTTCCAGCCCAAGTAATTCCCAGTCTAAATCCATATCCCTAGCACTTAGTGCAGTTTTCAACCTACTGCCAGGAAGTTGCAAAGTAGGTGGTGTGATATTAGGCTGATTTTGCCACATAGTGCCACCCATGGGAGAAGAGGCACCAGTTGGGGTCAAGGGTGGTGTTGATGAAGGAGGTAGCATGACAGATGGAGGACCAAGAGCGAGTTGGCTTATTGAATCCATGTCCAGGGATGAAGCACTAGCTGCTGAATATGATCTTGGAGAAGGCATAGCAGAACCTGTTGAAGCATACAATGGCCTAAGCTCCTCAAGCTTGTGAGCAAAGAAACATACCCTCCGAGTGCAATTAGCCTCATCCTTGCAGAGGCGTGTTCTGTATTGCGCAGGATGAAGCCAACACTCAAATATACCATGTGCATATTCACAATTATCGCCCCGCCCGCAAGATCCCCTCCGAAATTCAGGGCATGGGACACAGCTATAATGAAACTTCATAGGATCACGCCTCCGGGCATTCTCCCCAGGATGAACAAAGGGACACTCTGTCCAGTCATGAGAATAAGCCCTTGAACAAGGCTTGACTTTGAAACTATACATCCTAAACTCATCTGTTCCGTATATCCCATTATTGATGTCTGGAAGAGTAAGATCAACTGGATACTCTTTCTTCTCAACCACTTCTTTGGTTACCTGGGGTGTTAGAGTCTCAATCTGTTCTCGCCCCTCCACTTCATTACCCACTTGATCAGGCAAACCATCAGCTTCACCAACGCTAGTATTGCCTTTTAGCAAAGTCTCCAACATCTTCTTCCTTGAACCAAAAGCAGAATTATAAGCTAATGCAATCAAGTCACCAGGCCGGTTCCCATTAGCATCAACAGAATTAGCATCAGCAGAAGCATCAAGCAAGAGCTTGACAACCTCAACGGAATTAGCAGACCCACCAGCAGCAGCACAGTGAAGTGCCGTTGCAGCATCTGACCCACAAGCCCTATTGACATCAACACGACTGCATTGAATGATATAACTTAAAACATCCTTGCTACCAAACAAGGCAGCAATCAAAAGGGGTGTCCTTTCTTCAAAAGCCATCTTCTTTGAACCCATTCTCTTGCCATACCATAAGCCTAGCTCATCAATATCACGGTCTTCTTCCTCAATAGCTCTCTTGAATCCAATTAGATCATCTGAGGCCGACAGCTCAAGCAAAAGAGAAAAATTTTGAGATAATCCGTAGGCTCCCTCCATTACGAATCCAGATTGAGTAGGATTCTTCTTGGAACCAGTGCACATGGCGTTATTCTCTCTATTTATACAAAATCGCAACAAAAAGGAAATTTCACCAACTCTCTTTCAAGAATCGAAAACTTCTAAATTATACTGACTCAACAAATTAAACTGGAAGGAAGTCATAAAAATATATATATCCACCTACCAAACTCACAGGGACGGAAAGCCCCAGGATTAATTGAATTCAAGACACAATAAAGCTTGTGCTACGTATTGAAATTGAAATGAAGAATAAATTTCCAATCTTTTCACATAATATAAACACCAAACCAGTGAACTCAATCCCAGAATTAAACAAACAAGAAACGGTAATCCGCTATAGCATTAAACTACCAAAAAAAAAAAAAAAGTGCATAGGTAAAATCCTACCAAAATTTCAAACAGAGTAACAAAAAACTAAGACCCCAACACTCAAAACTCCATCCTTTTCCACCCAATTTCCCATTAACCAAACAGAACAACAAGAATATCATTTCAACATCAAGAAACAACTTACCGAATACCTTGCTGAACCCCAAATTTTGAAGCCAGGCGCAGGACGTAAACCAAGAATTCTTTCAACAACCCCTGTTTCCTTAACTACGACAATAAGAGGAGAATGAGAGGGAGAGCAAAAATGAACTTCCTCTCCTTTTCTTTTTTTTCTTATTTTGTTTCTCACTCCTTAGTCCTTTAATGGCTTCATTTCATAAAAGGAAATTATTTTATTTTATTTTATTTTTTATTTTTCCTGTACAATAAAAAACATTTATTTTCAATACCTTATCACATCTTATCCATATATTATATAATTTAAATTTAAATTTTCATATTTTTAGTAAAAAATTAAATTATTTTGACTATTGACAATTATTTTATAATTTAAATAATATTAGATTCTATAGTAATAATGTTTAAATTAAATTTTTTTATAATTTTAATTATATTAAATTATAAAATAATAATCTTTAAATTAAAAAAAAATATCTTAATATTAAGCTTTTCTTTTTTAATTAAAATTTTTTAATTATATAATTTAATATAATTTATATAATAAGAAAACCCTTATTTTCATTTTCATTTTTTTTAATTTTATTTCTTTTGATACATCTAATTATAAATTATATATAAAAAAAAATAACTTCTTTTTATTTTTAAATCCCCCCATTCAATTCAAAACTCAAATTTAGTATTTTTAATTTAAAACCTCAAAGTTCTTAAATGTCATTCTTCTCATGATAAATGTCATTTTTATGAACGAAATTTAAGAAAAGAGACCTTAATAAATTTCCAGAGAACATGTCAGCATTAAAGGAATTTATTTATTAGAAGGAAATTTAGTGCAAGGTGCAATTCTTTGACCATAAGATTGATAGTCAAGCAAATTTGAACGGTTCTGATCTTCTTCGACCAATCTGACGGTGCTACTATAGTCAACCAAATGAAAAAAAGTCCA